TTTAAAATAATTTTTTTAATAAATATATTATAAAATATATTAAATTAAAAAATATACCAATTGTAAAACGTACCAATTATCACCTTTAGAGATTATGTGCTAGCTTTTGGTCGAGATGGATTAAGGGCTAGTACGGTCCATTTTACAATTATGCACACCACAATTTCTCTGTAGAAAAAATAAATAAATATATGATACGTAGTGCGAGTACTCATTAGTTCTTTTTTTTTTTTTTAATCTTTCTTCTCTCTTATGATTCAAAATTATTTTGTGTATAATTATGTACCCAGTTTATAATTATGTATACTACAGTTTATGCTACTCTTCTTCCCTTTTATGATTCCATGAAACTAATATTCTGCCCAATAAATAAAATGATATTTTTGGCTTTTCAGTAAAAAAAGAAAAAAATGCAAGGGCAACATAGTAGAAGACAAGCCAATAAGATATCATTTGGCAAATCAAAGAAAAAAAAAAAGAGACATCATTTTTTTTAAAAAAAACATTTTGATACGAGATGGATTTAAAATTCACTCAAAAAAAAAAATGTACCTGTTTAATAATTAATACCATTATACCTCTAAAGCCAAGTGAAAAAAAGAGACATCATTTGAACTGTAAGGTTGTAAACTTAAAATAATTTCAATTCATTAATTTCAATTCATTAATCATGATGCATTAGATTCGCATTTACTGCGCAGTTTTATTGAGTAAACGAACCACATTCCATGAAAGAGGAAAAAAAACACACATTCCCGTACTAATGCATGCTCTTTTAAATATAATTACAGTTTTAAATTTTAAATTTTAGTTTTTATAAATTCTGTAAATCATTAAAAACAAAACACAAAATATTTGAGTATTTCTTTTGTTTGTAAAATTTCTTTTTAGATTGTATTATTTTATTAACATTACCAGAAAAATTGTAATTGTAGTGAAAACATCGTGAATTTTATAATTAGTCCTGCATATTTGATTGCAGATTTATTGTTAATTACCGTTTGCTATTTTATTACAAATACAATTTAAACAGTGCACAAACTAATTTTCTAGATTATGTTACAGCAAGTGTCTTAAAAAATAACAAACTAGATAAAACTCGTAGAAAGCAGGACTCAAACCAACAATATTAATCTAGTGATGTCTCAACCTTTCCACCATGGCAGATACCTAAAACTAGCTGAAACAAAGAAAAAGAAAGAAGAAAACAACCATCAAGAGGAGCTTATTTGAGTTAATACTGAATAGTCATTTAGTTAAGGGTTCAAACATAAAGATCAAAATATGAAGGTTAGCACTTGACAGTTTTATCGATGAATGTTAACACTTATCATATGTATCCATGCTCTTTTTGTGAGGGAAGCATTTTCATAAATTGAGGGAAAATGCTTAGCTTTTTGGTCGTAGAAGCTGGACGAAATTTTGTAGGCAAACAGAAGTGGGAGTTGCTGCCTTAAAAATACTTAATCGGGGTAGGCCTGTTTGGTTTGCAAGCTTTCTCAATCTGGAGAAGCCGCAATTTTTTTAGCCACAGCTTGATTCAGAAAATTGTTGAAAAAGCAAAGTTTTTGTCACTACTGACCCCTAGCTAGTTCCTGGGAAAACTGACCAAACCCTTTGGTAGCAATTTCTTGAACCAAGCAATGGTTGAATAAGCCGTGCATTTTCGATGAATTCTTTTTCTGGGGAAGCTTAAACCAATTCAGATTCTTCATCTTAATCAAACACGTCTTAATTAGGCAGGTAGTAACATGAGGCCAAGGAGCAATATATGCACTCTAACCCAACACTTCGACAGCTGCTCTTAGGCAATCTAAGCACGCTAACGATGATTTTCTTTGGCTAATTGACAGGTTAGGGAAACACTTTTTTTGTTTTGGAGCTTAGATCTTGATATCAAAGACATTGACCTTTTCTTCATACGGTACGTAGCAGGTGCCACTAGAGGCCCAATGAGAAAAGTTTCTTGTTGTTACAGAAAACTTTTTTTGACTCTGAAATTTCAACGGAGAGATATTTCTGCTGAGAAGATTCAAAAGTGAGTTCCTGACGCTATAAAAGATGGATAGGGCCATGGGGAAGGTATTTGCAAGCAGTAGCGGTGGTGAATATGGATTCGGAGGGAAAAATTATGTTGATTGTTGGGTTTTCAATGATGGGTGTGTTTTTTATTCTGGGTTGTATAATCCAGACACTCCGCTGCAGTACAGGATTTGGTGAGGGTAACGGCAGAAGAGGGGACTTTGGCTTTGGCGCTGATGGTGGTGGTGGTGGTGGTGACGGTGGTGGTTGTGGTGGTGGTGGTGATGGTGGTGACGGTGGTGGAGGTGGTTGTGGTGGTGGGGGTGGAGGTGGAGGTGGTTGTGGTGGTGGGGGTGGGGGGGGGGGTGGAGGAGGAGGTGGTTGTGGTGGTGGGGGAGGAGGCGCAGGTGCTTGCTAGAAGATGTGAAATAGGAGATCGAGTCAACTGATGATTTGATGTCGGCTTATAGATTATGGGCTAGCTCTCGGCCGAAATGGATTATGGGCTAATCCGGTCCATTTTATGAACAATTTTTTTGTAGAATTTTTATTTATGACTTTCAAATTTCATTGAATTGAAAGTAAAAAAAATTATCCTTAATTAATTTTCAATAAACACATTTAGTAAAACTCATTAGTTAGATTTCCCTTTTTCCAGCCTTTCTTCTCTTATGTGGATCCTATGAAACCCCTTTTTTTTTTTATATATGTTTTTCTTTTTTGTGAATAAAATGAATATTATTGAAATAGAAAGGGGTTACACTGGTAATGGATAATTCAATTCTCATATTCTCAGCAATATAAAATAACAAAAGCTACACTAACAGTTTCAAGTGGGCCAATAATATATATTAAAAATTTTGACTCAAGTTAAAATTTAAGTTTTTATAAAAACAATTTATAATATTTTTCCCTTTTTTTTTCAAAATTCTCCTTACTCAAAAAATAATAATAATAATAATAATAATCATAACAAAAGCCCAGCTGAGCGAGCTTCAAAATAAACCAGATCAACAGATAGCTCATGACTCATAACAGCAAGTCGGTCAGCGCAGGAGTTGGCTCCTCTAAGCAAGTGGCGCAGCTGAACTTGAGGAATCTTCGCCAATATTTCCGTGTAGTCCAAGATCAAGGTAAGCAGAGGATGATTGGGATTCAGTTCCTTTGAAAGAAGATGAAAAGGCAACCAAGGTATCCATTTCCACGATAAGATTTTGAATATTCAACTGCTTAGCTTTGAGAAGACCATCACCAATCCCCCACATTCAATAGCTAAACTAGTGATTCCGACCAATATTTCTAGAAATCCCACGGACCCAATTACTACCATTTTTGGTCTCGGATGAGGCCACCCGCAGAAGACAAGTCATTGTTTAGCTTGTTTTTATATGTTTGTGCCCATTAAATGCATAGGTTGCATGGAGTGGAAGACAAGTCATTGTTAAGAAATTACAACATAACATAACGGATGTTTCACAAAAGCTTAACAAATTAAAAATTATTTTATTTTAAAAATATTGTTTATTTTTTTGTAAGTTTAAAATTTTATTAAATATAAAATTTATTTAAAATTTATTTTAAAAGATAATTTTTTATTTTTTAACAAAAACTTAAATTTATAGGAGATTAATAATACTTTTAAAATAATTATTTCTTAAATTTTACCAAACACCCCATGGTAGTAGACATGCTAATAAAATATCATTTGACAATTCCATAAAAAAAAAATAAACAAACAAATGAGGAAGAAAGAAAAAATGAATAAAGATGTCATTTGAATTGGAAAGATAAATGAAAAAAGACGTCATTTGAATTGCAAAGATATCTTTTTTTTTTCTTTGAACAAACCAGAAAACTTCATTATACTGTATTAATTGGGTATTTATATCTTTACATAATACGGTACAAAGATCAGCAGAGGTAATACAAGCCAATCATACCACAATCCCCTCAACACCCGTTTCCCCACCCAATCTGTGCCAAAGTCTACCTTGAACCCCTCGTCTTGTGAAGTTTAAAAATTTTAACACTTCATCTTATATTATAATATTTTTAATTCTTTATCTTACTAAAGTTGTAAGTTTTAGTCCATTATTTTATATTATAACACTTTTAACCATACATCTATTAAAATCGAAGAAAATAACCTTTATTTTCTAACATTTTGTCAATTTTGTTAGGTGACTATTAACTCTGTTAACTAATTATTAGTTGACTGTTAACTATAAAAAACCTTTTTTCAGCTAACAGAATTAATAAAATTAATTTTATAATATTTTGTTAATTCTATTAATTAACTATTAATTAATTGTTAATTAATAAAAATCTACTTTCAGTTAACAGAATTAATAATCAGTATAAAGCAAGGTTTTTAAAACTGGATCGGTCATTGAACCGTTTTCGGGTCCGGTTTCCAATTTGATCGGTTCAACCAATTGAACCGATGAATCAACCGGTTCAAATAACAAGAGAAATTTGATGAGATGGATAGGTAATTTTGTAATTTCATTAAAATTAAGGGTTAAAATCGGTATAAGAAAGGAATGATGAGGGTGAAATTGGAAAAAATAAAAAAAAAATTGCATGAGAAATTGAACCGATGATTTTTTCGGTTCTATCGGTTTCATCGGTTTTAACCGGTTTTAAATGGTTTTGACCGGTTTTGAACGATTTTTGACCGGATTTGAACGATTTTTGACCAATTTTGACCTCAAACGGTTTTTTGTATGAACCGAATTGTTTTCATTATCGAGTATCGGTCCAACCGGTTCAACCGACCAATCCGGTCTAATTTTAAAAACCTTGGTATAAAGTGATGATTATTTTTTTTAATTTTAATAAATAAAGAATTAAAACTTATAAATTTAATAAAATAAAAATTTAAAAATATCATAATATAAAATAATAAACTAAAATCTACAAACTTAATAATAAAGAAACTAAAAATAAGTTTGTACCCATTTGCTACTACTAAATTAACTTCCTTGATACATAAACAAAACTATAGAAAGAATTGGAAAGATACCTACTTCAAAATAATTTCAATACATCAATTATGATATATCAGATTCGTTACACAATTTTATTGAGTAGACAAACCAAATTTCCGTACTAATACACAACTTTCAAGACCTTGATGTAAGTATGCGTGTACGGCGGTTCAATGCTCAAGGAAAGAAACTACGCAATTTTTTGAATTTGACAGTTAGTAAAACAAAAATGATAAAGTACTTGCGTTTACATTTTACAAGAAAACAGTACATGCGTTCACAATTATCATGTGCCGTGTTATTATATATGATTATTTTTTAAAAATAATATTTATATTATATATATTTATTTAATAATAAATTATAGTTATTATAAGGTTAAACCTTAATTTAGTCCCTCAATTATTATATGAACTTTCGATTTGATCTCTAAATTAAAAAAATTCCTAATTTAATTCTTATTATTACCAATTTGGTTCCAAATTGGGTCCCAAATTGGCTTTTCTGTTAAAAATTAATTGATGTGTTCGTTATTTAATGATAAAAAAACCGTTACTTAACTTAATAATCACATATCACGTTAATAATGAGATACATTATTTGTTTTTGTACGGAATAACTAATTTGGATCTAAATTAGTAAATTGTAAGGACCAAATCAAAAATTTTTTTAGTTTAAGGACCAAATCAAGGGTCTGTACAATAGTTAAGGGACCAAATTAAGGGTTTAATCTTATTATAATTATAAATTTATAATTTTATATAATATTATAATTATTGTCGCTATAACATTATAGGGCAAAAACCTACTTTTAGCTCTTACCTTAATAATTTTATAAGTTTTAACCTCTCAATTTATATTATGTCACTTTTAACCCCTCACTTATACGAATTGAAAAAAATAACCCTTACTTAATGTGAGATTATAATTTTCATTAGCTGACTGTTAACATTCCATTAGCTGACTGTCAACATTCCATTAACTGACAGATGGTTAACAATAATAGGAACAAAGCTAACAAAATGTTAATAATTAGTTAACAAAATGTTAATAATCAACTGACGAACGTTATAAACTGACATTTAGTAAGAGTTATTTTCTTTAATTTGTGAAGGTGAGGGGTTAAAAGTGTTATAATCTAAGATAAATGGTTAAAACCTACAAATTTATTAAGATAAATGGCTAAAAATATGTTTTTATCGCATTATAGTAGGTAATACTTTAACTTAATGATAATCTTCATTTGATAGAAATAATAAATCTTAAATTCAAATTATATGACATGTAAATAGGGTAAATTAAGATTGAAAGAGAGCCACCTAACATTATGTAACTCAAGATAAAAAAAAAAAAATCTATAAAACTATGGTAAAAATTCTCTAAGTTCTTAATGTTGGAACAGTCATGGGGGATACTACATGTTTGGATTAGATATTGAGTATTAATTATTAATAGAGTTCTCTCTTTTGCAAATTATATGTGAAGACCATCTCTAATATTAAGAGATTTATCTATCAATCATTTAAATTGTATAATTCGTATAAATTAAATTGCACAATGCTTTGTTTTAGGTATATTTAAGTTTGAAAAAGATTTAGATATATAGTTTTCTTAAAACTTACTTAAAAATTATTTTAAAAGTCAATTTTTAAAATTTTCTACAATAAAACTTTAAATTTATAAAAAAATTACTTAAAAAAAATACTTTTTAAACTTTACTAAGCAAAGTTTAGACACTTTTTTGGGCTTCTTAAACTGGACTCTAGCCCAACTTGGCTTTTAAAATTGAAAGTTTGAAACCATTGGTTCG